CCCCCCCCTTCATCACCCCAAAAGGAGGAGATGCTGTTGGGAAGGAAAGGAAAGCAGGGGAGGGTAACACCTCCACCTCTGCAGTGCCCTGGGCTCCATCCAAGCCCCTCGTTTGGTCTGGAGGAGATGTCAGGTCTTTAGAGCTGGAAGAAGCCACAGCTGATGCTGGGGGCCTGGGGGAGGTGGAGGAGGAACCCAGCCAGGGTTGGCAAACACCTTCTGAGGGGGTGTAAACATCCTTATTTCATGTGCTGGGAATTTTGAGGCTCCTCAAGTCACTTTAGGGCTGATGAGCAAGTGGGACCAGGCAAAGCCTTCCCCACCCCAAGCTGTCACCATCATCTCTACCAATTTACTGCTTCCCTTCTGCTTTCAGGACTCTTCCAGCCCCTTCCAGCACCTCCCACCCTGCCCCAGACACCCCACTGAGGTCAAGTCACCCTTTGGCTCAGGAGTGTTGATCAAAAAAAACTGCCTGGGAAAGGTGGTGCTGGAGGGAGGATGTTGGAGCAGAGCTCCTGGCATCAACCAACCTCCCTCCAGCATCACCCAAGCCCCCTCATTTCCCAGTGCCCTGCTGGAAAACGACTGGAAAAGCCAAGAAAAAGAGCTTCAGGATTTCCCTGCTCATGTTTTACCTGGTTAATCTCACTGGTGGCAGGACTGTGGCTCTTGGCAGGACACAACCTGCTGTTGAAAATACCAGCAAGTGAGAAAACAAGTCATTTTTTACTCTGATTTCTCTATTTTTTAAAATCAGGAATTAAAAAGTTGAGGTGACCAGGCATTCTGCAGATTCCTCCAGCACCAAGACAACCAAACACCCCTCTGTGCCCTGCCTGATGGGAAGAAAGGGTAAAAAAAAAAGCCTCAAGCTCCTTTTGCATCCCAGGAGACCCTGGTGTGAAGTTGCTGGAGGCTTCAAGATATTCTGGGTCACCTTTGTCAACCCAATGAGCAAGTGGTGAACTCAGGAGTGGGGGAAAAGAAAACCTGTCCCTTCTGGGATGGTTCCCAAGCTGCTCATTAGATAAATGCTGCAGGAGGGTGTCAGCTTCCCAGAATAACCCCTTTGTACCTTGAGGGAAGGGGGATCTGCCAGAGCAATTCCCTCAGAGAGGGAAAACCAGGACAAAAGGCAGGGTAGGAAATAGAGTTTTCACTTGGCTGCTGTGGGGCAGAGGCACAGAGACCCTTCATGTTGCCCCTTCTACATCCACTTTCTGCTTTTCCTTGCAAGTTGGGCACCCATTTTTGCAAGTTGGACACCCATTTTTGCCCTTCCCCAGCTGGGCCAGATGAATTTGCACCTCCAGGCTGGTTTTCAAGCCCAAGCTGCAGGATTTGCTGCCCTCAGCCCCACGATCAGAGGTTCCTGGTTGCTGCTGGCTCAGCTGGCAGAGTCCTCAGGGTTGACATGGAAGAGTTTCCTGAGCCAAATCCTTCCTCCCCACTTGGTTGAACATTAACCTCACCACTTCAGAAGCACAGAAGGGAAGAGAAGCACTACCAGGAGGAGAAATGGGGCACTGTTGGAAGGGGAAGCACTGCTGGTGTGAAGAAACCTGGGGAAATCTGGAGCTTTTGTGCCTGGGCAAGGAAAAGATCCAGGAATGTCATGTTCCCTGTAGTGACATTGCAGAGCAGCTCCCTCCCTGCTGCTGCAGGGGAGCTCTGGGAGGGGAGAGAGGTACCCAGGCTGAGCAGCAGCCCATGCATCAAGCAGAAGGGGTAATAAATCAAGGGCCTCTGATCACTCAGCAGATCAGCCAGAGAAGCTGCTTGGGATGAAGAATCATCCCCAAGCAAGGAGATCTCCAGAGCCATCTCAGATCTGGCCTG